TAGATTGCCTGAATTGATTGGTAATGAGAGAAGGCCACCAGCTGTAATTCCTCACCAATGTGGTTGGGCATGGTGATGCTGTGGTGAGGAGTAAGAACCCTCAGCATTGAGGAGAGAGGGTTGTCTTTTTAAAAGTTGACTTTGTTTCTCCTTCCAGGCCTTTTGGTTGCCTACCATTGATGACTGACCTTGGTGCTGCTCGGCTGTTTATGTACAGTGAGGGTGGCCAACAGGAAAAACTCAGAGGGGACTGAGATAATGGATTGGATCATTTGACTGGGCTGGAGAGCATCCTTCCACATGGCCTTCCCATGGATGTGCTGTACATCTGCTCAAAAGAAAAAAAGGACTTTGCCGAGCTTCTTCAAAAAGACTCTTGGTGTGGCAGATTCTACCAGGACTTCAGATTTTCCAGCTGTCACTGCACTGAGCTCCTCCAGAGGAGTGACCAGATTCATGATTAGGGTATACTGGGGCCCTCAAGATGCCTTCAATTTTGAATGTATTTGCTGCTGAGGAGCCGGTGAAGTTGTTAATTCTGCACATCCCTTCTCCCACCCCTGTAAATGCATGGGAAGCTACAGTTCTGGTTTTGAGATGCTAAGGGCAGCTCAGCACCCCTTGCCCTCACCCTGCATGTCTTGTTACTGGGTCTCCCCGTGTCATTGTGGCATTGTTCCACAACCATCATGTCACTTAGGTGCCAAACATTTACAGAAATAAGTCTTCATATACCTTGGGGTAAGAAAGGGACAGATACAGAAAGGAGGACCTTGTCAGGAAGCCTTGTGAGTTAGTTGTGTAAGGGTAGGTGGTCAGGGCATGCCTCAAGGCTCTGAGTTTTGGGTGGGAAATGGCACAGGAGCCTGAGAGAGTGGGAAGTGGGGGTTGCAGGTGAGGTAGGTTCCTATTGCTGGGCAGTTTAGCGGTAGCCTGATGCGATCCCCTATCATTAAGACAAACCTGCAGTCCTTCTTGGTGCCTGCCAAGCTTGGTTTTATACAAAAGCAAGGTGGGAGTTTATTTTTGTACATGAGATACATCACGCTTTCCTGTGGGCCAGTATTGTGGAGTAAGTCTGAGTTGTTTACACTGATGCCTTCCCTGCCCACCCCAAATTGTGTACAGTCTCCAGAGGATACCACCCCTTTTCCAGCTCCCAAGTAAGAGCTGGCTCTAGGCCTGTGTTATATGTTATATTTAGCCTTTTTATATATGACATGGGGTTTCTGTTGTTGGTATTTTAGCACAGTGTGTACACCTTCATTTAAATATATCCGTGTGTGCATACATATATATATATGTATGTATGCATGCATGCATATATACATATATATATGTATATAGAATATGTCACTTCTCAAGAGTTCAGCAGAAGGAGATGGGGTCCTGCAGCCCAGGAGAAAGACTGCATCCTTTCTAATAGTATTTGCCACAAGTGTTAGTCTTCTCTATTAACTTTTTTCTTTGGGAGACAGAATGAAGCAAAGCTTCAAGTGTTTGCTGTTCCCATGGCAGCTAAATGAGGGTCTTGGGATAACTTCCCTTGTGTTCCTCAAGCCGCACTTTGGGGCCCTTTCTGCAGTATTAGCCCCCGTTTTTGCTCGGTGATGCTCTGCGCCTGTACGTGTGTGACAGTCACTTTTGCATGCCTTTTGTGTCTGGCTTCTAGCGTTTGGGGACAAGATGCTGGAACCAGAGCATTTTCAGTTTGTCTGAAGCTTCTTTTCCAATTACAGGTCATTCCTGTTTACCTGGTATGTCTGCTTTCTTCTTTTCCTTGCCTTCTCTTGGAAGGGGGAGAGGTCTTGATCAGGGTTGAGATGAGCTAAGACTGGCTCATAACCTTTCCTTCCCCTGTATGTCCTTCTTAAAGCTGGACCAGTGGCATGTTATTTCACTAAGTTCCCAAACACGTGAGCAGGCCACACATTCCCTGCAGATACAGAAACAGGCTCAACAAGGTTATGATTTGCCCAAGAGTACACAGCTGCTAAAGGGGGGAGCAAGCTATTAACTGCTTTTGTTCAGCAGCCGGAATAGGCTGTGAATTGCTAGCAGTTACTGTTTTGTTAGCAGTTACTTTTGACTGGTTCCTCAAGCTTAAAGGGCAAGGGGCATACATCTTTTCAAAACGGAGCCTGGAATCTGCAGCTTTTCTGCAATGCCACCATCAATAGCTCTGCCTTCTCAGAATGGAAGGACTTTTAGAAACCAGATGATCTGAGCTATTACTGCCCACTCATGGCTCTTCAGGGTAGAAAATTCATGGTAGGAGTAACTGTCCAGAGAGTGCTTGAGACTGTGGATTTACAAGAAGGGCTGCATAATTAACATACCTGCAACCAGAGCAGCCACTTGCCTGTCAGTAAGGAAGAGGATTTCTATTGAGTTTCTGTGTGTCCAAAGCTGAGGTACCATGTCCTTTGAAATATGCACAGCACTGCCTCTCTTTCTAGGGACCTGTGGCTAGAGAGCTGGCTCCTGAGTGTGGAAGGAAAGAGGAAAGATACTGGCTCGAAGTGACTGGAGACGATGTGGGAATGAGGCAGAATAAAGGGAACAGAGGTATGGGGCTGCAGGGATGCTCTCAGTGGAGCCAGGGGTACTCTAGCTCTCTGGGGTGGGAGGGGGCACACACCATACGTACTCTCAAAAGTTCAGGCCAAAGCCACCAGTTTGTAAGTGACACTGCGCTGCTCAACCACCAGCCAGTGGGGTGTTTTTATTTTTATTATTTTTTAGACAAAAACTTCCCTGTTGCAATCATAATTAATGCTTATTGAGGAAATTTGGGGAATTTTTAAATGAATCAGTTCGCCACCCAAATGCTACCACTGTTAATCTTTTGGTGTTAAATGTTCCTCTAGACATTTCTGTGCATAGATTTTTGGTGTGTTTACATAGTTGTTATTCTACTGTATATACAATTTTATGTCCCTTTTGTACTTAACATATAAACATTTTTTCCATGTTACCAGTCTTAAAGTTTTATGGCTGTAGCCTCTCCGTTGTTGAGTTTCCATAGCATGGTTTGCATGGTTCCTAGAGTTGGGAGGGAGGGGTGGGTTGTCTCCTGTTAGTCCTCTTGATTCACCCTGGGACTCATAATGCTGTGTGGATGGATTGTTGGACTCCCTGGGACTGCCCCTGCCTGTTCCCGGTGACCAAGGCCTGTGGCCTGGCTGGTGGGAAAAAACCCTAGACCCAAACAACGCATAGCAGCCTGGGTGGTCTCAACCACAGGCTCTAATAGCAGCCACAGGGCCAGAAATGAGTGACTGGGAAGACCCAACCTGAGACAGCATTGAAATAGCATTTCAGACGCTGGCAAGTACCTCAGGCTGCCTTTCATGCCCCATTGTTACCTCAACCCTTGATCAGATCGGCAGCTTCTAGCTGGAATAGTTTGCCCTGCTACAGTGGCCCTGGCTTCTATGGGGCAAGGATAATGGGGTTGCTTCTTTTAGGCTCTTGTACCAGTTCTGGCAGAGGGCCTGCCCAATAGCTTAATAACCCATTGCCTGGCTTGTGAGTTGGTAACTCCTCGAATGTGTGCACTAACTCAGGATCCTCAGAGCTGCAGGACCTGCTGCCTACCTCTTCCTGCTCCTCTCTGAACCAGAGAAGACCTTCTTGGGCCTGCCACTTTGCCCATAGTCATTGGAGGTTGGCCAAAGAATATGAAGAGCCGCAGAGGGAACATCCCAGCTTGTGAGCAAGAGGCCATGCATAGGTTCTGGCAGAACAGATCAGTCAAGGAGAAAGAGCCCCCCCGCCCACAGTCTGGTGGGAAAGCTGCTGCATTCAGCTCTGCTAAGACCCATGAACACACAGATCAGGGTGGCTGACCCTGCAGCAGTCACTCCTGTCAATTTGGCGGGATTGCACTGGAGAGAGACCTGCTGTGCCCACTCCCTGGGCTTCGGCCTTGTGTGAGGAGCAAGAGCAGGCAGTGGGCTGGGTCAGAAGCTAAGTCATCAGGCTGCTGGGGTGAGCTTCCTTAGCAGCTGACATGAGAGACAGGCACAGGATGCTGCCCACACTGCTGGGGGATAGGGGTGGTTGCTGCAGACAGAGGAAGTAAGAGTGCACAGGTCGTAAGGCACACTCCTGCATTTACCAGCCATCTAAATAGAGCAGGCTGGAGAGGCTGCCGGTGTTTCTGGGGCCACCAGTTTGTCAGGACTTTGCTGTGGACAGATGTGAGGCCCAGAAGTAGCTGGGCTGTGGGACAGGACTGTGAAAAACGAAATTTGGTAGTTTTCCCTATCCCTTCCCTGGAGAATATAGGAAATGGAGTCTAAAATGAGTTCATTACGGGGGCCTGCCTGCTTAAATAAGTCACTAGAGCAGGTGTCTCTCGATCTCAGGGTCGTGAATTCAAGCTCCACATTGGGCACAGAACTTATTTTAAAAAAATAAAGTGGGCAAATTAAATAAAATGAGTTAATGGGCAGGAAAGAGGGCCTGAGAGCCTCCCCAATAATCCAGACACAAATTTTACCATCAATTCTGGTGCCTCTTTGCTCATGTTCCTCCTGGCCCATCTAGGTTGTGAGTTGCCTGGTTAGAATTTATCTCAATTGTAAACTAAAGAAGGAGTGTGAGGCTGAGGTCATAAAGGTGGTCACCTTGTAATTCAACAAATGCTTCCGAGCACCTGGGCCTTGGCAAGTCCTAGGTATTAATAGTCTTGTGGGGAAGGTAAGAACTAAGCTGCTCATCAAACAAGCCCTGGAACCCTGAGTGACTTGTCTCCAGCTAATTTTGAAATTGGCATTCAAATCCAAGTTAAAGGCACTCCTTCTGGTACATCAAGCCCAGAGCTCACAGATGGTAGTAGAGACTTTTCTGTTCCCTGGACCACAGTTCCCTCACTGGGGCTCACCCCACGCTGGGAACTAGGGAGGCTCACTGAGAAAATGCAGTCCTGACTATAGGCAAACTTGAAAGGCAGAGGTAAGGCCAATTCTTTGGAAAGAAACAAGAGCAAAAAGTGTACTATAATGCTAAACTTTACAGCAGTTCATGGTTCACAAGGGCCATTCAGCACACAAACATTTAATAATAGGTGATGGGGAGCAACAAAACCAAAGGCATCGTTGGGACATTAGCCTAGGGCAGGGCTGGGGCCAGGGAGGAGTGGTCAGAGGACATTCCCTGCTCAGCAAACTCTGGGGCTCCTCTTGCTGCTTTCTGTTCGGCCCAACTTTAGCCCCAGGGCCTGTGCCTCACCTCCAGCGGCAGAAGGGGGTAAGGCAGGAACCTGGTCCGGTCTCTCCCAAGGGGCTATACAAGATGGCTGTTCAGCAGATAGGCTACCCACAGCTTTCCATAAGGCACCCTGCATGGGCTTTGGGGGTTATTGAGTAAATACCCTAACATTCATGGGTTAGAGACCTGGATCCAAATTGCTTTACTGCCCCTCCCGGCAATCTTGACCAATGCCCTTAGTCTGGCTGTGCCCATCTGTGAATAATACTGGGCTGCTGAGACCCTGTCAGAGGAACCCCACTTGGGTTTCCTACACTGTAAAGGGGTGTTACTGATTTTGCACTTTTGCCCTGCCTGTCAAAGGGGGGACCTGGGGAGCGGCACTCTCCATACTCTTCCAGCTTTGACTGCCCCATATAAATGTTCTCTTTGAAATGGGCTGGGGGTGGGGGTGGGGTCAACCCATTGTGTCTGGGGCAGGGCAGGGCAGGTAAGCCTGCTGTTGGCCATGGTGGGGGGATGGGGACTACACCCGGCCCCAGAGTGGTTCTGGGATATGGTGTCTGAATCCTCAGTGGCCACTGCTCCTTTGGCCCTGGCTGTGCAAAGGAATCACGAACACCGAGATGTCGTCGTAGGACACCTGCCCTTCCCCTGTGGGACCGTCGTCCTTCCCTTGTGTGCTGTGTATCAGCATTTTGGCCAGCTCCGAGAACCTGTGGGGATCATCCTACAGATGCACTTTGGAGCCAGAGGAAAGAGGCAAGGCAGCCCTCAGGGAGAACTTGCTGTGCAGGGCTGGACATGCGGGGACTCACTGTAGTCCAGCTGTGGACCTGGGCAAGTTACTAGTATGGCAGGGCCACAGGTTGGACTGTGGGGATTTCCAAACCCAGAGATTTTGAAGGCCCACAGTCACCCCCCAGAGAAGCTTGAGACAGCCCCACTCTGACCACCTGCCCTGAGCTGGGCTCATCATCAGCGCTGTCTTCTCAGCCATAACTACTTCCTGGTGTTGCTGCTGGCACCAGGCAGGTCCCCAGAAGCTACAGTACCTGTGTGGGTCCTCTTGGTTGCCAGGGAGGAAGCTCCGTACTAGCCGTGCCACCTGCTCATTGGACAGGACATCCCAGAGCCCGTCGGTTGCCATGACAACCACATCCTCCTCCTGCAGCTCCAGCTGGTCCACATCCAGTACAGTCACCTGCAAGTTAAGCCTGAGGATCCCTCACACTCCCTCCCCAGGTCCTGCCAGCCGCATCATCAGCCTTTCTGGGCAGACAAAAGCTGGTGTGGGCTGCCGCCTGCTCACCTGGGGGACAGAGAGCAAGAAGGGCTTGAGCTGAATGTTTGTGTCCAGGACTCTGAGCTGATGGTCTCCCAGGCCCCGGGAGACGGCCAGTGTTCCCAGTAACCGAGCCTGGGGACAAGGAAAACATGAGGTGACCACAAACCGTCCCAGCGAATATGCAAATAAAGTACGCAGAAGAGAACTGTGGTCCTCAGGTGCCCTGGGTGGAGGGATAGACGTCCCGTAGCCTTGAAGCAGGATCCCTGACCCCAGCTACAGCCCCCAACAAGGAACAAAGGAGTTCCCACCCCCGCAGGGGGCTAGTTAAGAGGGGTTCTTAGAGGGGGCCAGTCACTGACCTGCCTACCCTGCCCATGGATCAGTGGGTACTTGAGATCCGACTTCTCCACGCACTTGTAGCTCCTACCAGGAGCAGACCCAGTATCAACCCAGGCCCTGCCCACCCCCTCGTCTCCCTGCCCCACCCCAGTGGAAGAGGACTGCCCCAAGACCACACATGGGGCCTGGACACCAGGGTGCTCCCCTCTGTCTCCCTACCCCACGTCGCTCACCAGCCTCTCATGTGGTGGTCCCGGAACAAAACTTTCTGCCCCAAGTCATCCCCCTTCAGTCGCCGGGGGAACTCCAGCCGGGTGAACTCACCAGCCAGAAGCTCAGGGTAGACAAAGGCCTGGGGTAGGGAGGCCATGCTCAGATCAGACTCTCTCAGGTGGCCTCTGGTGGCCCTGGACTCACAAGGGCTCCACAGCCTCCCTCTGCCAAAGGCACCTACCAGCTGCTGGATCCGCTGCCGCTCAGTCTCTGGGGTGAACTCGGAACTCAGGGGCCGCACCTCATCTTTCCGTACCAATATGGCCCTGGATGGGGTTGGGGAAGAGAGGGAGGAGAGGTCTGTGGGACAGACTCAACCCTGGCTCATGGCCTCCCTCCTGTCGGCCCCTCCTCCAGCCACCAGGGACCAGGTCTGCCTATGCCAGTCCTCGCTCAAAGCCCCCCACGACTACCTATGTCCTGCAGAGTAACAGCTCAGCCCTTGGGCCTGGCCTTGAGGTGTCCGCCTTCCCTGACATCTGCTGTCCACTCACACCTGACATGCCAGATACACGAGCAACTCAGTCAATCCCCATTTCCATCCCTCCACTTCCATCCCCCTTTCGCTGTCCCCACTGCCTCTGGTGCCCACCTGCCCGCCCTAGCCCGCCTGCCCTCCAGCTCTTACCTGCTATCCCCAGCGTTGGCCACATACAGCTTTCCCTGCAGGAACACAGCCACCAGGGCCGTGCAGCCGCCCACCTGGCCTGAGGCCTCCAGCTCCCGCCCGATCACCTCATCCTGGGGCAAAGCGAGCCACTTTAGCTGCTGCTTGTACTGCCCACCATACCATTCTGTCCCCAGTCCCCACCCTACAGTTCACTTCCCCACCAACAAGCCTGGCAGTCCCAACCCAAAGTCTAGCTATGACTCTGGGATCCCTGTGGTTGGAGGATCTAGACATATCCCTTGGGAGGGAGAGAAGTGCTGTTCAGAACTGAGGAAGGGAAAGCAGCCCTGCACCAAGGACCAGCAGGATGCACACGGTATGCTGCATGTAAAAGCACCAAGCACACACCAGGTACTAGATAAATGGGAGGAATTACGATGACCACGACTAACAAGCCCCATCTTGTCCTCCCAATGCAAAGATCCAAGGAGACCACCGCTGTGTGCAGGGATGCCCCACAGCCCGGGTCTCTCAGGTCCCTGGCCCCTTCCCCAGCCAATGGCCACACTCACACATTCCTGGAAGGCATTCTCCAGAGCCCCGATCACCAAGTCTTCTGCCCTAATGCCCTTTTCTTCCACAAACTGGGGGTCACTGGGGCAGACGCAACGGCCGCTGAGGTGCATGGGGGGCTGAAGGGCCACCATGCCCTCTACCACGGCCTCCAGCTGCCGGCGCAGGCAGGAGTGCAGGGTGTTGGCAGCCAGAATGGCTGCAGCTGGACCACCGTGCCCATCAAACAGTGCCCAGTAATGACCTGTCAGGAACTGTACAGGAAGGACTTGGTGTCAGGCTGTGCCTGGCTTCCCCACTTGTCCCCTGGCCCAGAGTGGGACTCTAGAGCAAGAACCTCAACCTGCAGTCCTGGTCCAAGTCCTGGTCCCCAGGCCGGGGCCCCGCTGTACTCACCTCCTCTGGGCACAAGGTCAGCCACTCCTGGTCCTCTTCGGCCCCGAACTCACATCTCCGTATGCACAGCTGCCCACAGGCTGCCTGATCCTCATTGAACTCCGATTTCTCTGCGTTGATGATCCTGAGGCCAGTAAGCATCAGTGACCCTTCAGGGACACACCCACGTCCCCACGGGCAGAGTCCCCACGGGCAGAGACCAGAGCCGGTACACAGGAGGAGGAGCCCTACCTCGGAGGCAACAGCCCTCCTGCTGCCTCGGACACAGCGTACGTCTCCTAACTGGTCAGTAAGGTCAGGGTAAGGCGAAACTCGGGGCTCAGCACCGCCCCCCTCCCGGAGCCTACCTCCTGCCTGGGGAGACCCGGGGCTCCCTCGCCTGTCCTCCACCCCGCCTCAGCCAGAGTCCCTGTCCCGTACGGCACGGGCCACAACCCAGGGTGCGGTTGCGGGGGGCTCCCAGGCCCGCAGCGCCAGGGCTGGAACTCTAGCCGGTCCCCGCCTCATCTCGGAAGCCCCAGGGGTGCAGGGCGTCCCCGGCTCGGCTCGCGAGCCTCTCCGCGGGAGGCGGGAGTCCCAGAGGGGAGACTGCGGTGGGGCCGGGGCTGGAGGGGCGGGAGGTGGGGAGGCTGTCCAGGGTCCCCGGGGAGGCCAGGAGGGCGGTGGCCACAGAGCTGGGGGGCGCTCGCTCGGCTTAGGCTGTTCTCCGGGGCGGCCCAGCGCGGGGGTGGCGGAGCAGGGCCGGGGGGCGCGGAGGGGGCCGGGGGGCGCGGAGGGGGCCGGGGCGGGCACTCACTCGGCGTAGCCTGCGTTCCAGGGCAGCGCGCGGCCCCGCGCAGGGCTGCGCACGGGCCGGGCGTCCGGGCGGCGCGGGGCGTCGGCGGAGCCGGGGCCCGAGCCCGAGCCGCGCAGGAAGCGGGGCCGCCGGTAGGGCACGGGGCTGGCGCGCGGTCGGGGCGGCCGCGGCGCGGGGAGCGGACCCCCCGGCAGGAAGCGGCGCCGGAACCAGCCGGCGGACATGGCGCGGCGGCAGGGGGCTGCCCGCGGGGCCCCGGGCGGGAGAAGGAAGCGGGCCGGGGGCGGGGCCGGGGGCGGGGCCGGGGGCGGGGCCGGGGGCGGGGCCGGCGACGCCCCCAAACTCCGGCCTCCTGGGGCGTGCGCGCGCGCGCGCGCGGCCGGGGCGCCCTCGGGCTCGCGGAGCCCCGAGACGACCCCGAGGAGCTGAGGTCGTTGGCAGGCCCACTTCGCAGGCAAGACAGCCGAGGCCTCGAGAGGCGAAGCGGCTTTGGCCGCGTCCCACAGCCGCCCGAGCAGGCGGGTGCTGCTCCGCAGGCGCGGGCCGCTGGCCTCCCGGCGAGGTGACGGGGCGTTCGCGGCGCAGGGGGCCTGCAGCCTGGCTCCGCGCCGCCGCCTCGGGCTCCTCCCGCCGGGCCCCAGCCTTGCGCAAGGGGGAGGCGGGAACAGGATGTGCTTGGAGGTGTCGGGCCAGCGCGTTGAGTAAGAGTCCCGGAGCACAGGGTGCCCTGGGTTCCCTCGGGTGGCCTTCATTCCCCATCTCTCCCCCCTCCGCCCCCAGATGGGGCTCGGGGATCACCCCGGCCTTCCTCATCCTGAGAGGCTGCTCCCCACTTCGGAGACATCCTCCCAAACCTCCGCGCCTCCAGTCAAGATGTCCTCTCTGGGCACACAGCACGATCTTCCGTAGTGTTCGTGGCTGGTGGAGCAGAGGAATTCATGGTCCCCAAAAGCCTCCAACCAGAGTTCAGACCTGGAACTAAGGGAAGTAGAAGACTTTCGTCTTCGCTGGAGGGAAGATGTCGCAGTCTCTTAACCCGTGACTAGGGATCACGGTGGGGGTGGGGGCGGTCAGCAGCAGGGTCTTCCTTCCCATCTGCACCTGAGTGCTGTCACCCGTCTGTCACTTACGCCCAACTCCTTGGAGGACTGTTATTTCTGTCTCATAAGTGGGGACTCTGAGCCCCATAGAGGGGAAGTGTCTTGATGTCCAGGGTGTGCTGTTTCCATTATGACGGTTCAGCTGACTCAGAACTCCCCACAAGGGATTTCTCTTCCCCTTTCCTCCTCCAAAAAGGCAGGCTTGCCAACTCAAGGTCCTTGAGGCCCTTAGCCCAGGCTCCCCAGGGAGAGCTGCAGGACGATTCCCTACCTTTGCCTCCTCACCAGGCCCTACTCCCTCTGGGCTGCTAGCCTTGCCCCATCAGGAGGTCCCCCTGCCCAAGGAGGACTGTTCTTGAGACAGGAAGCTGTGTGCCACGTCCCCTCCCTCAGATGACTCCAGTCCAGAGTGGCTTGGGCTCAGTAAGATAACTTACTGAACCCACTGTGTGCACCAGGCCCCATTTGCTAATGGAGATGGTCTCCCCTGCTCTGTCGGTGAAGTCCTGGTGGATGGTGCTTGATCCCACTGGCAAGGGGGTGGGGGCAAAGTCAGAGAAAGCGTCCCAAAGGACACCTGAGCTATGCCCTTTCATTGGGACAGAAATGGATCAGGGACCCAGGGTGGGGTAGACCCAATTCAGTCTGTGGAGTTACCTACTCGTTCCTACTAGTCAATGGCTCAGGTTTTTATTTTTATTTTTTTTATTTTTATTATTTATTTATTTATTTATTTATTTATTTATTTATTTATTTATTTTTTTGGCTCAGGTTTTTAAAGTCTAAAATGAGAGAAAACAACACACTCTATTCCTCCAACCCACTGGGTGGGATGAGTCCTGTCCTCTAAAGTCTATTCAGAGAAGCTCCTAAGGAATCACAGGTGATTTGTTGCTCAGAGTAGCCGTGGAGCCTATAGCAGTCCCATCCTCCCTGTCCCAAGGCAGCCTGAGTGTTCTTTCAGTGCCACAGAGGCTTCTCTGGCTTCTAGGTTCCTGGGAACCTCTATTCTTGCTTGGACTCCAAGCCTGACTCTCTTAGTTTTCGACCTCATTTTGCTGAAGCACATCCTCTAGTAACTCTCCAAGAAAGGATGACTGGAAGGTAAATCCCTGAGTCCTTGCAAGTCTGAAAGGACTGGTCTCAAAAGCCGCCCCCCCCCCTTTTTCTAAAGTAAGCTCTACGTCCAACATAGGGCAAAAGCCCTTGCTTTTTGACTGATATTTTGGCTCAGAATTCTGACTTGTCTGTTCACTGTCTTTTGACTGTTGCTGCTTGGCAATCCAGTGCCCCTCTCATTCCCAGACCTTTGGATTGGCCATTTGCCTTTTTCTTTCTCCAGAAGTTTCCAGGCACTTCAGTTTCTGTTGTCTGAAATTGTAGATGAGGTTCCTTGGGGTGGGTCTCTCTTCACTCCTGGGGTGAGCCCTCCCAGGGGGCCATGCAACTCCTCACCCCCCTAGTGACACCCTTCTGACTGTTCAAATGAACCCAAGCTTGTGCCCCCACTCCTGGCCAGACACCTCTCCTAAGTTAACTCAACCAGCATGTGAAGGTGGGGAGGAACAAGTTTAGAAAAAAGAAAGTTTTTTTTTTTAAAGAAAAATATTTTTATGCTACATTTTTCTCACTCACAATGAGAATAGCCTGGCTCAGTCAGTAGAATATGTGCCACTTGATCTCAGGGTCATGAGTTTAAGCCCCACGTTGGGCATAGAGATTACTTAACAAAAAATAAAAATAAAAAACCAAAATCTTTTTTTAAAAAAACCCAAAATTCAAAAGGTGTAAAAGTGTATTTAGTAACAAGTCTCTGCCCACAACCCTATCCCCTCCCTGGCCATGCAGTTCCTCTCCCTGTGGAGACACCCAATATTACCAGTTTCTTGTAGACACTTCCAGAGATGCCATGTATTCTGTGCAAATTCAAGAAAAATAAGTTGGTTTTGTTTGTTTTATTTTGTTTTACCTAGAGACAAGAAATAGTGAGTGTTGGCAAGGATGTGGGGAAAAGGGAACTCATATGCACTGTTGGTGGGTCTATAAATGGGCTGCAGCCATTGTTGAAAACAGTATGGAGGTTCCTCAAAAATTAAAAATAGAATTACCATATGATCTAGCAATTCCACTTCTGGGTACTTATCTGAAGAAAGTGAAATCAACATCTTGAAAATATGTGCACCCCCATGTTCACAGCAATATTATTCACAATAGCTAAGACATGGAAAAAACAAAAGTGTCCACTGACGAATGGAAAAAGACAATGTAGTGTACAAATACACAGGAATATTAGTCATAAAAAAGAAGGAAACTCTGCATCTGCAACAACACAAATAGACCTTGAGTGCATTATGCTAAATGAAATAAGTCAGAGAAAGATGAACACTGTATGATCTCACTTAATATGTGGAATCCTCTTTTTTTTTTAATTCATGAGAGACACACAGAGAGAGGCAGAGGCATAGGCAGAGGGGGAAGCAGGCTCCTCGCAGGGAGCCCGATGCGGGACTTTGACCCTAGGACCCCAGGATCACACCCTGAGCCAGAGGCAGTCGCTCAACCACTGAGCCACCCAGGCGTCCCTCTTTTTCTTTACACAAATGATATAGCCTACTCTATGCCAAACCCAAACCTGAAATTTTCATAAAAGATACCTCTCTACCTTTCAGTATTAGTCCTCAAAGAGCTGCCTTATTGTTAAAGCTAGAGTGGTCTCCGCAAAAATGCAGACCTTATATAGCTAGCCACTCCGTGACAGACGTATAGATTGTTTAGTTTTTTGTGGGGGTGTATTGGTAGGATCAGTCCCTAGTAATGGAATTGTTAGGTTAAAGGCATTTGATGTTCATGGCTGCAGTATTCACAATAGCCAAAAGGTGGAGACGACTCAAATTTCCATTGTCTGGGTGAATAGATCAACAAACTGTGGTATATACGTGCAATGGAATATTATTCAGCCATAAAAAGAACAAAGTACTGCTACATGCAACAATGTGGATGAACCTCCAAAGCATTACACTAAGTGAAAAAAAGTCATTTATAAAAAGGTCACATGTTGGGACGCCTGGGTGGCTCAGCAGTTGGGTGTCTAGCTTTGGCCCATGACGTGATCCTGGCGTCCCAGGATTGAGTCCTGCATCGGGCTCCCTGCATGGAGCCTGCTTCTCCCTCTGCCTGTGTCTCTGCCTCTCTCTGTGTCTCTCATGAATAAATAAATAAAATCTTTTTTTAAAAAAAATAAAAGGTCACATGTTTTATACTTACATTCATATGAAATATCCAGAATAGGTCAATCCATGGAACAGAGCAGACAGGTGGTTGCCAGGGTCTGGAGGAGGGAGGAATGGGGAGTAACTGCTTAATGAATACAGTCTTCTAAAAAAAATAAAATAAAATAAAAAAAAATGAATACAGTCTTCTTTTGGAATGATGACAATGTTTTAGAGCTAGAGATGGTGGTTGCACAGCCTAGTGAACGTACTGACTTGATCACTTTAAGATGGTTAATTTTATGTTAAGTGAATTTCTTTTTTTTTTTAATTTTATTTATTTATTCAATAGAGACACAGAGAGAGAAAGGCAGAGACACAGGCAGAGGGAGGAGCAGGCTCCATGCAGGGAGCCCGACGTGGGACTTGATCCAGGGACTCCAGGATCACACCCTGGGCCGAAGGCAGCGCTAAACCACTGAGCCACCCAGGGATCCCTGTTAAGTGAATTTCATCTCATTCATAAAAGGGGGGCATACTTATTTACAATTTTGTATTGTCCTACATGAAGGTTGCACCGATTTACTCTCCCATCAGCCTATTTTCCTATCATTTGACCATCACAGTTTTTCATTAAACGTTTTAATCTTTCCCTATAAAGATATGTAAATCTAGTTTGAGTTTCACTTAGTAAGAAAGGATAACCAATTTTCCATAGTTCTGAGAGACCTATTTGTATTGGATAGTTTGCCCAGTTTCTTAGTGAGCCATTGGGGTTTTTTCTTATTGAGTTATGAGAGCTCTTTATTTATTTTTAAGATTTTTTTTTAAAGATTTTATTTATTTATTCATTAAAGACGCACAGAGAGAGGCAGAGACACAGGCAGAGGGAGAAGCAGGCTCCACGCAGGGAGCCCGATGTGGGGACTCGATCCCAGGACTCCAGGATCATGCCCTGGGCCGAAGGCAGGTGCTAAACTGCTGAGCCACCCAGGGATTCCAAGATTTTATTTTTTATTTATTATTTATTTGTTTGTTTGTTTAGAGGGAGAGAGGGGGGAGAGGGGCAGATGGAGAGAGAATCCCCAACAGACTCCCCGAGTGGGGAGCCCAACTTGGAACTTGACCCCTGACCCTGAGACCATGACCTGAGCCAAAACCAAGAGTTAGACGCCCAACTGACTGAGCCACAGGTGCCCCAGAGCTCTTTAATTTGAAGTGAGTTACACATATGTTGTTTGTAGCCAATTGGAGTTTGTTGTTTGTTTTGGCTTTGATGGCGGCTTTTTCCATATAGACTTAATTTTTAATGTAAATGAATTTATCAATTTTCTTCCAATTCTTTTCTTTTATGGATGCTGAGTTTTGTGACATACTCAGAAGGCTTCCTTCATTCCAAGATTCTACAAAATTTTTCCTTTGTTTCTGCAGTATTTTCATAGTTCATTTAAAAAAAAAAAAACATTTAAACCTTTTAAACCTTTGATCCACCTGAAAACAACAGTATGTTCTAATAATTTCAGTGGCTGATTCTGTGTTGAGAAACATCAGAAAGAAAGGAGCAACCAACTTGTTCCTGGATACTGTGTTCATCCTGGACTCATGTGAGGAGCTGTGTGCAGCTTTCTCATCTTTCTGTCTGAAACCAGATCTCAGCCAGAGATGGAGTCTGGGCACTCTGCTAGGCCTCGGGCTCCTTGCCTGCATCCCAGGCTGTAAAGCTGAGCAGGACCAGGTTCGAACCCTGGTCTCCCAAGGAGTTTCCTTCTGTGGTCAAATTCTCATCACTAAGGTATGAGATAACTGATGGAGGGCACAAGGACCACTGCCCAACAGGATTTCTCAACCTTTGATTGTTCCATTGTCTTGAGTAAAGGAAACTAAGGTTCCTGGGGACACTCACTACCTTGTGACCTGCATCACATCATCACTTCATCTCTCCCAACCTCAGATTCAACTGTAAGAGAGAGACAATAACACTTACCTAATAGGGTTGTCATGAGGACTAAATCAATGTGCCCAATACCTGGTAAGGGTGTAACATAAAGACTCTATTTTTTTTTTTTCTGGAAGTTTTTTTTTTTTTTTTTAATTTATGATAGTTACACAGAGAGAGAGAGAGAGAGGCAGAGACATAGGCAGCGGGAGAAGCAGGCTCCATGCACCGGGAGCCCGATGTGGGATTCGATCCTGGGTCTCCAGGATCGCGCCCTGGGCCAAAGGCAGGCGCCAAACCGCTGCGCCACCCAGGGATCCCCTATTTTTTTTTTTTTAAAGTAAACACTAGGTCCAACAAGAGGCTCAAACTCACGACCCTGAGATCAAGAGTCCTGTGCTCTACTAAATGAGCCAGCCGAGTGCCCCAAGACTAACTGTTCACTCGTTTATTTGGCAAATATTACTGAATACTTATCAATGCCGGGCACTGTCTAGGTGCTGGGGATAAAGCAAGGGCAACAACTTAACTACTGGTAGAGGGAAGACAATTAACAAATAAGTATATAAATATATATATCAGGCAGCAATAAACACAGAGAATGATGCAGGCAGGGGTTAGCCAGGCAACAGGGGAGACCATACAGTTAAGGAATTACAGTTCATCCCATGCTGGACATCGCTACAGGGAACATAACATTATCATTTTTCATTAATCTGTTTTCTTGGCTAATTCCTATTTCCAACAAGTTGAGTTGAGGCTCTTAGGCTTCTGTGGAATTGCCAAATGCTCCCTGGAGGTAGCCAGGTCTGAGAGCTGATGTAACTGCTGGCTCTGTGTGGCTGGTCCCATCTGCGCTGTGGCAGGGCTGAGTTGGGGACGTGCCTATGAGCTATTCTCCCAAGGGCAGTCCATGAGGCCAGTTTTAATGTTCCATTGTGAGTTCTGGGGTGGCCAATGTGAGCACACCACACAGGCCCCGTTCTTAGGGTGTGCACAGGAACATAAGAAAAATTTTCGGGCCACCTGGGTGGCTCAGTGGGTTAAGCGACCAACTCTCTATTTCCACGCAGGTCATGATCTCAGAGTTGTGGAATCAAGCCTGGCCTTGGGCTCTGCACTGGGCATTGAGACTGCTTAAGGTTCTCTCTCTCCTCTTTACCCCACCCTCCCCCACCTCGCTCTCTTAAAAAAAAAAAAAAAGAGGAGAAAAATTCCTTCAATGTTGCATTTGCTGGACTATCAGGAAACGAAAAATCCAGGGCTTGGGGCACACAGAGGGTGCAATATTACTCACTCAGGGTTAGGGTAGAGGGACAGTGAGCAGAGAGCTCAAGCTAGAGCCCCACGCCAGGCAGGCCCCACACTCCATCATTAATTCTCAGCAAGCCCAGCCCCAAAACGTGGCCTCCTTCCCAATCGTCCCAGCCAAAGTCTGGGACAGGCTCTGATTGGAGTGACTGGGGTCACGTGTTCCTCCCTGACTCACCTTGGCCTGGAAGACACATTATGTTGATTGGCCAGTAACAGCAGGGCTGTTGCCAGAAAAGGCTAAAGCGCTGGGTATGGAGCTTGGATTTGATGAGCAGTTGGGAAGTTCCTCATTGGCCAAGCTCTCCTTCGACCTCTGGGCCTTTGCACATGTAGTTTCCTCTTCTCAGAAAACTTTCCCCTCCACTCCACTAGGCTGATCTCCAGGTCTCCACCAAGCTTCCCCTCCTCCTGGTGGCTGCCTGCTCTCAGGGCAGGGCCCTCGCTGCCACAGGTTCGTCTGCTAAGTACCAGGCAGGTCAGTCTGACTCCCACCATCAGGGCAGGGCCTGCGGCCAGGCCAGCCTCCCGGCGCCGGTGGGTGCTTCGCAGGAGGCGCTCAGAAAACGTTCTCTAGGAAAAGGGATGCGGCCCAACCGCACGCGCGGATGCACGCGCGCATATCCGCACGCGAACCCCCTTCCCGGCCGCAAGCGGGGGTACGCGCGAATCCCCCCCACCGAAATCCACCTGCCTCGGGGCGCCTACACTGGCGCGCGCACTCCCGGGCGCGCCGCAGCCACGGCCCGCGGGCTCAGGGCGCGCAGACACACCCGCCCGCGGGCGCCCACGCACGCTCGGCCACGCGCAGGCCCTGTTCTCCCCCAGCCAGGGGCACGCGCAGGCGCGCGAGCTCCCCGACCGACTCCCGGCGGGAGCCCCCCCACCCCCGCCACCCCGCTCACGGCGCACGGAGCGCGCACGCGCGGCCCCGGTTCCCGCCCCCTCCCGGCCTCGCCCGGCGGGGGCGGGGCGCGCTGGGCCGGGTCCTGCGGCACCGCCCGGGAAGCTGCGCGAGGCTGGGCGGCCGCCGCCACATCCTCCTCCTCCTCCGGGGCCGGGCGAGCGGCGCGGGTCCAGGGCTCGGCTGAGGGCGCTGAGGGCGCGGGCGGAGCGCGGCACGGAGCCATGGCGCACCAGACGGGCATCCACGGTGAGGGCAGACGGCGGGCGGGCCGGGGGCCGAGGGTCTCCGCTCGGGCTGCGCCCCCTCCTGGCGCTCAGCCCCTCTCCCCTCCCGGGCAGCAGCCTGCGGAAGCTTCCTGTTCTCTTCTGCAGCCGCAGGTCGCCCGGGGTGGGCACATCTGGGGGCGTGCGACTTACTCTGCATAGTTGGGAGTGGGCGTACATGCAGGCACACAGCTGGAGTGGAAATAGCTGTGTGCCCATCTGGGGGTGGATGTGCCTGTGTGTGCCCATCTATGTATTTTTGTTCCTTTCTGGGGGGTGGGTGTACCGGATGTGCACATCTGGGGGAGTGTGCACGCATGTGCACTTGTCTTCTGTGTACAGTGCTGTGTTTGCACATCTGGATGTGACTGCTTGTGTATGTCTGGAATCATTCATGCATATGCACTGATGGCTGATTGAATGATCACTGTTGCAATGGAACCATCGTTAGGGATCAGTGTTTTGTGACTAGGTGCACATGTCTGTGGGTGTCTGTGTGTGTGTGTGTGTGTGTGTGTGTGTGCACAGTTGGGGCACATCTCAGTGTGCATTTGTTACCGCAGATGCACATACTAGATGTGTCTGTGTATGGCTTGTATGGGTTTGTGTCTGTGTGAGGAAGGGTCCCTGACCTTTGGCTCCTCCCAGGACCCTCACACATTTGAGCAAGCTAGACTATGGGAAATCTGGAATAGGGCCTTCAGAGTGGGATGGGGAGAGTTGCCAATATGACCTTGACCTCTGACCTCCCTACCATTTTCCACTGTGATCTCCTGTGTCTGCTCCAGCCAGGGTTGGAAAGTCCCAGCTCCAGGCTGGAGGCAGAAAAGAAGGTCCAGATATGGGGTTTGTGAGGGATGGTCCTGGCTGTAGAGCCTCTTGGCCAATGCCCCCTACCCCAAGCTTCTCCAGCCTAGAGCATCACCCCCTCCCCCAAGGGACTAGTTTCCTCTTTACGCAGGCTGGGGAGAAGCAGTGGCCAGGAGCCAGGTGTCCTGACCCTACCTGGGTCTGAGTGTCCCCCTCTGTCACTGGACTGGGAGGACTGCCTAGCCTGTGAGAAAGGCCCAGGCTGCTTGCCCAGACAACAGACAGCTTGGTGGTTTGGCCATCAGCCACTCCTCCCACCACATCAGGATCCTCAGCCTGGGGACACCACCACCATCGACCAGCCTTACTGCCTGGATCTCAGTTTGGCTTGTGGTCGTTGTGGCTGCTTGGTGGCTAGACCAGCTAGAGGGTTTCCCTGGCGCCACCCCACAAGACCAGAAAAGGCAAGGGTCTGGGTCAAGGCCAGCCTCCTATCAGGTGGGCCAGCCTCTCCAGAAGGAGCTGGGGGAGCTGGAGGGTGACTCAGCCCCACAGAAGGGAACAGCCACCCCTTGGACCTGCCCCTTCCTTCCCCTTTGTCTGGTCACTGCTGCTGCCACCATCTGAGAGGGGATCGGAAGTTAGGGCCCCTCCTCCCTGCTCAGGACAGACAGGTCCTGTGGCCAAGGCCCTGCCTCACTCCTTCACTTCCCACGTGGTGAGACATGCCTGCCTAGGGGATCACTGGGGACTGGGCTGCCCCAGCCCTCCTGCCTATGAGCAGCCTACTCCTTCCCCTTTCTGGCCGAGGGAGATGGCAGGTGAGATCGATTGCCCTAGATGTCCAGATGCCAGCCCAGTCATGGCCATAGGTGTGGATCCAGTGACCTCAGAGCAGGGCCGGAGACAGGGGTGCTGGGGAGGGGCAGTGTACTTGTAACTTGAGGCTCACCCGGATAGAGGGTGGGCAGGGCAGCAGAGGCAGGGGCAGGGAGGTGGGAGAGCATGAATCATTGATGAGAGAGGCTCAGGTGTCCCAAGCCTGGCCTCTGGATTATTGATGGTGACTGAGGAGTCATGGAGGGGGATGTCTCTTCTGCTACTGGGGTGTCACTCTGTCCTAGTAACTCTAGAAGGGGTGTGGCAGCCTTTCCCTTAGGGGAGCTTCTTAGCTTTCCCTCCCAGAAGGTCTGAGCAGGTGGAAAGGGCCACTCAGCACAGCCTGCCCCGCCATCATTACAATAACAAAATTTAACAATTGTTACTCATAGAGGCCCCATTACTGAGCATTTTCCCCCCATTTACTCCTCAGCATGGTTTTCTGCAGCTTGGGAGTATTAGCTCCACAGTATAGATGAATTTGAGGCTCAGCAAGGTCAGAGGTCACACACAGCTATGGGAAAGGTGGAGAGCCAGGCTTTACCCGCAGGGACTTTATTGGGGTCTGCTCGTAGGCAGCTCTGTCCTGGCCCAGTGGGGCTGGGTGTCCTTTATGCCACAGTACGTGGTACTCGGTTAGGACCCTGCTTGCCCAGCAGCCATAGAGGGTAGTATACAGCCTGAGATCTCAGGTTCAGGGTCACCCTGCCTGAGGGGCCCCTGAGGACATGACCAGAGTTTGTTTTCCTAAAGGGCCCCCATCCCCCCCCCCCCCCCCCCCCCCCCCCGCCCAAGCTGGCTAGTCTGGGCCCTATAAATATTCTCTGACCTCAGCCCTCCAGCTGTGTTCCTGCAAAATTCTCCTGACCCCTGGGTAGCCTCAAGGTCATGCTGGCCTGGCCCTGTGCGCCCAGAGACTCGAGTCGGGCCCTTCCCCACTTGGACTTTGGTTTCTGCATCTGAACTACTGGTAGATCTGTAACATCCCTGGTCCTCACCTCTGCACTCAGGTCCTTGGTCATTGGCTGCCACCTTCCAGCTCTGTGACCCAAGGACCAAGAGAGGCTCTGTTTTGTAGGGTTCCCACTTGCATTTCCTCACCTGGGAGCCTTCTGGACTGCCTAAGGGCTGGGGACTTGTTGCCCGTGGCAGGGCCGTGCTAGGGCTGGGCTCCCGGCCTCTCAGGGTGAGGCCGATGGGTTATGTGCTGGGTCCAGGTGTGCAGGCCTATGTGTTTGTTACTCTGGGGACTTTGTCCGTGTATATGTTTGTGTGTGTGTGTGTGTGTTTTTAAGATTTTATTTATTTATTCATGAGACACAGAGAGACAGAGACACAGGCAGAGGGAGAAGCAGGCTCCATGCAGGGAGCCCGACGTGGGACTCGATCCTGGGTCTCCAGGATCACACCCCGGGCTGAAGGCCGGGCTAAACTGCTGAGCCACCCGGGCTGCCCATGTTTGTGTGTTTATTTTTTATTTTTTTTTAAGATAGATTTATTTATTTATTTATTTATTTATTTATTTATTTATTTATTTATTTAATTTTTTTATTTATTTATGATAGACAGAGAGAGAGAGAGGCAGAGACACAGGCAGAGGGAGAAGCAGGCTCCATGCAAGGAGCCCAACGGGGGACTCGATCCCGGGTCTCCAGGATCGCACCCTGGGCCAAAGGCAGGCGCGAAACTGCTAAGCCACCCAGGGATCCCCATGTTTGTGTCTTTAAATATGTGCATCCGTTTATGTTTGACCAGCTGAGTGTGTTTTCATGTGTGAGAGTGTTTTCATTTCTACTCCACTCTGTCACATTATGTTTATTTGTTACGTTCAGACACGCTGGCTGGACTGAGTAGGTATCCGATGGCATACACAACAGGGGACACACGTGTGCGTGTGTGTGTGTGACTGTGTATGTGTTCATGGACATACACACAGTGGGGGCATTTGTTCACGTCTTCTGTGTTTGTGGATATGACAGAGCTGCAAGTGTCACAGGCCGGTCAGTGTTGGGCTTTCCTGGGGGCAGGGGACAGGCGGGGGCTGTGGAGGCCTGGCCTGTCCCAGAGCCTGCCCGGTCCTTGAGTGGCCTGGCCCATCCCCGCCTACCCTGTTACCAGAGCTGTCTCAGCCAACAGGCCACACTGTTGGCTAAATTTGGGAGCTTATGTCTGTGGGCCGTGTCAGGTTCCCAGTCACATGGGGGGCTGTATTTAACCCGGCTCCCGGCTCCACCGGCAGACCCCACAGGCCGGAGGCAGGCCCTGAATGTGTCTCTGTCCGCCCTGATCACTCTGCTCTCTCCTCCCTCATCATGTTTCTTGTTCTCTTAGCCACCGAGGAGCTGAAGGAGTTCTTCGCCAAGGCACGGGCTGGCTCTGTCCGGCTCATCAAAGTCGTCATCGAGGATGGTGAGTGCCCCTTACTGCCCCCTTTAATGGGTGAGGGCCAAGGCAGGTGGCAATGGGTTGGGGTGCACTGGCCCTAGCTGCTTCTCTGGGAGTTGTTTAGACCTTTGCCTCCAGCCCCTTCAGGACCTCACTTCCTCCGTCTGGGGATGGGAGGTGTCTTGTAGGAGAGCATCAGAGGTGGGCATGATCATTACCCCTGTTACACAGAGCAGGAATTAAAAGCTGGGGTGACAGCAAAGAGAGCCCTGCTCAGAGGTCCTGTCCAGCCTCCCAGAGGCTATGTAAGGGTCAGAGGCCTAGTCAGGATGCTGGGCTGG